TGGTTATGCTTATATGCATGCATACAAGTCCTTTGGTTGGTCTCTCCCCCTTAGCCTCACCCTCTCCTGCCTTCCCTCTGAGATTTGAGCATCGATCGATGCTTCTCTGTCTTTAGATCTATTTTTTGATTAGCTATATTAAGGAGAGAGTATACACTGCCTAAATATGCCTTTTGTTTGGCCTCCATTAATAATTAGTAAATGGAAAATTTGCATGTTGAATGATACAGTTTTACATGAGATTGCAATAATGGTTCTTTGGATTGCCTTTATAGGATTTCTTAATTGTTGTTTACCATTACTACCAACCTTTATTTTAGAACCCACACTACTTTCAAAATTGGAAAAAAAGTTAAAAGTTCATGTTTTGTGCTTCCTAGTGATCTCAATTACTTTGGAATTTTGAAACAAAATATTATTTGTTGTGTAATAACCAGAATGATGGATGTACTGATTTCTCTTAATTTATATGAGGAATTTATTTACATTATTGATTCTTTATGTGTACTATAATACAATTGTCAAGTAAGAACACAAACATTTTCTAAGATTTTGTAGAGTGACTCACTTTTTAAAAACTATCCATTTTATGACATACTGGCTTGAAGGATACATATTTCAATTGGATGTTTAAATTTAACAGAATAACATTGATTTTTTTTTAAACTTTAAAATACAGTCATTTAATTTTTAATCATGTACTATTCATTTAAAACACATTTTTATCACCTTTATAATCAGTTGACATTTCAAATGTATTGGGGCAAATTAATAATTACATTAACATGATTATTTTGGAAAATTATTTACTGGAATATTAACAGGATTATGCAAAATTAGTACTTAATATGACATTCAAGGATGTTTGGTTGTTTGATAATCTCTGTCTTTTTAATTGTAGGTCTCTGTGGAAGAATTAGAACAGAGTATTAGTGTGAAAATAGCTAGAGAAGCCATAATGAATATAAATAAACCAGAGAGCCTTTTTAAGTCTACAAGTGGATTTGTAGAAACCAAAGTATACTTTGCAGGCTTACCTCGGACACTGAGGAATACACTCATTAAGCCGGTAAGGATCCAAGCTTTTTACATTCGTTCATCAGGGATGAATTCCTTTTGTTTGTAATAGATTTGAAAAGATATTGCCAAAGTCAAAAGAAGTTATTTTATCGAACATACCAACTGTGACAACTTGAATTGAACATGGAAAAATAACATTAGTGGCCCTTGAAGTTATATTAAGAAAACAGAAAAATGAGTGTAGTGTTTTTGAGCCCATTTAACCTCCAGCAATTTTATTATTTTTTATTTTTATTTTGGCACCAGAACTTGGAAAACATTTATTAGCCATGATAGGGAAAATTCTCACTATGCATTATAAAAAGGACAGCCATATATCAACTGTTACAAAAATGAAATAAGGTGAACATTTTTAACAAACTGAACTATTTTCTTAAAGAGACTTCCTCTACTGTCAGAGCTCTTGAAAGGCCTCCTGGTCAGTCATTGGAAGCAATGCTTCACGTAATTGATAAGCTTGTCTTCCACTTTGGGAAGAGAACCACCTTTTTCTATTCTTCCTTGCAGTGAAATAGAAAATTTTAAATTCTTAAGCTTTAATTCACGGCTAACATCATAATTGTACATAGCCATTAAACATAAAACTACATATATTTGAATCGCCAAATACATTATTTTATAAAGTCAGTTAAAGAGCTTTCTTAGGTCTACTTTAGAACTTAAATTTGGGAGATAAGAATGGCATATAAGGTGGAACTTTTTTTATTTAAGAAATCTTTACTAGGAGTATGACTGCAGCTTGTCATAAATTGAAGTTAGATACAGTAGATGATTTTCTGAATATGATGTTTAATAACTGTGGAATAGGTTTTATGAAGGAGACTAATCACTGTCCTTGGAGAGTTTTAAATATTTCATCTGTATTCATGGATCTGCCAATTGCACCTGCTGATTTAACTTAAATATTTACTATTTCATATCTATCTTTCACTCATGGCAATTCACAGTTACCTTTAAGTTAAAAGATTTCTGTAATATGATATAAAACCTGAATTAGTTAACCCATGTCAGAGTGAATATACCTGTTCTTTGAAATTGATAAATCCAGACACTTTAACAATAAAATAAATTATTCAAAAAGAATCAACTATTTATGACATGGCCACCACATATCTTCAGTCTGACTGGATGCCATGGTGAGGCTAAAGAATGGAAACACGTGAGGTCCTCTAATTGCATTTACCACACAGGTCTGTCTTGCCAATGCTTGAGTCTGATGGCAAGACAAATCTGTGTAGTAAATGCAATTAGAGAAAAATAGAAACCAGCATAGAGCCCAGGGCCACAGCTAGACACATATATGGAACTTGAGAGCAGGAAAGTTACCCCTGAATGCCATAAAAGAGGCATGTAGGGCTTGAGGTATTAGAAATTATTAGGATCTTAATGGAGGCCTGTGATGGCATAAGCTCACTACCTGGAAAAGACTATCCATCTGATAGTCTTTTCTTTGATGTCATTTAAAAAATATTTTTAGTATCTTGAATTTTATCTAAAATTTTCTTTTCAAAGTGTTCTTCAGATGGATAGTCTTTTCCAGGTAGTGAGCTTATGCCATCACAGGCCTCCATTAAGATCCTAATAATTTCTAATACCTCAAGCCCTACATGCCTCTTTTATGGCATTCAGGGGTAACTTTCCTGCTCTCAAGTTCCATATATGTGTCTAGCTGTGGCCCTGGGCTCTATGCTGGTTTCTATTTTTCTCTAATTGCATTTACTACACAGATTTGTCTTGCCATCAGACTCAAGCATTGGCAAGACAGACCTGTGTGGTAAATGCAAAAAGAAAAGATTTTCCCTCTAAGTGAAAACCTGTTTCTATAATCAGTTAAGCCACTATCAGTCTGACAAGTTAAAAATGCACTCCTTGACGTATATTCTGTTTTGTTAGATTAATCCTCGTCTAGATGGATGTATGCGAGGCTGGAATTTGATGAATCAAGGAACTGCAAGAGTAGATGAAATTATTCAAGAAAGACAAAATAAGCATTGTTTTATCACTGTGGAGAAAGGTTCCTACTATCCTGGTTCTGGAGTTGCTCAATTTAGCATAGATTATAGTAAGTGATTTCCCATTTTATCTCTCTTTTCTCATTAATGACTAAATTTATTCATTGACAAATAGCAGTAATTCCTTCAGTAAACATTATGAGTGCCTACTTTCTGCCAGGCATAGTATTAAGCTTATTCATATTATTATATACTTGTTATAAAAATTTCCCCAGCATATTGAGGGAAAAAGTAGTTGAATATGCCTGTGTTATTATTTAAAGATTATTGGCACATAGCCTGATTAATTTTGGGTAAATTCAATTGAAGCTTCAACAATTTCTCAGTTGTATTGAGTCTACTAATTAATATAATTAAAAGGATGCATCTTCATTTCTAGTATTTTTCATTTGCTTCTTTCTTAAAATGTTTACCTCTCATGAAATTTCTTTTCTGTTCATACATGTTGTCCCATCTTTTCCAATGAGCCTTCAACATATTAATTATAATTTTTTAAAATTCCCTGTCTGATAGTTCCAATGTCTGTGTCATATCCAAACCTGATCATGTTGATTGCATTGTCTCTTGACCATGTGTTGCTTTTTTCATTCTTTCTTCCACATCACATAATTTTTGTTTTAAAGGTGGGCATCTTATGCAGAACAGCAGAGACTGAGATAAATAACATTTAGATCTGGAAATGAGCACACCTCCGCTTTTGTTAGGCTCTTTACTGAGGGATGATGAATCAATCTACTCAAGTGTTGAGCAGCTTAGGTTTTGTTGTTTCTGTGACTACTTTTAAAATTCCATTAATATTATCTTATGCTTAGGGTAGCAGTTGGTAATCCAGAGGGTTTTTTTTTTTAATTCTGTATGTTGAAAGTATTACATATGTCTCCTTTCCCCCTCCCCCTGCAAGTGACCTCTCCTAGCCTCCTCCCACTTCCCAGCATAGGCCCTCACCCCCTTATTGTCTGTGTCCATTGGTTAAGCTTATATGCATCCATACAAGTCTTTTGGTTGATCTCTTACCCTGTCCCCCTCCACCTTCCTCTGCCTTCCCTCTGAAGTTGACAGTCTGTTCGATGCTTCTATGTCTCTATTTTTGTTCATCAGTTTATGTTGTTCATTATATTTCACAAATTAGTGAGATCATGTGATATTTGTCTTTGACTAACTTATTTCACTCAGCATAATGCTCTCCAGGTCCATCCATGCTGCTGCAAATGGTAACAGTTCTTTTTCACAGCAGCATAGTATTCCACTGTGTAGATGTACCATCGGTTTTTAATCCACTCATCTACTGATGGGCACTTAGGCTGTTTCCAAATCTTAGCTATTGTAAATTGTGC